TTTTTTTTTGGCATGTGTATAGTAGGTGTGCCTGCATGTACGTTGCCCTGGCTAGATTTTGTCAACTTGACACAGACTAGAGTCATTTGGAGAACCGGATTTACAGTTGAGACATTACCTCCGTTAGAGTTGCCTGTAGGTGTCTGCAGTCCATTTTACTGTTTAAGAGTTAATGCGGGAGGGCCCAGCCCACTGTGGTTGGTAACACCTCTGGACAGGTGGTCCTGGATGATATAAGAGCAGGCTGGGCGGCCTATGTGGAGCAAGGAAGCAAGCAGAGTTCCTCCAAGGCCACTGCTTCAGTTCCTGCCTTCAGGTTGCCGCCCTGGCTTCTCCTCATGTTGGGACTAGAAACTGCAAGCTGAAATAAACCCTTCTTCTCCAAGCTGTTTTGGGTCATGATGTTCACCACAGCAATAGAAACAGTAAGACAGCAGTGTACAGCAGGGGTCAAGGGCGAGTGTCTTCTTCAGTTGTTTTCCACCTTATTTTCGGAGACAAGGGCTCTCACTGAACCTGGACCCCACTGGTTCAGCAAGAATGGCCGGTGAGCTCAAGGGATCCCTCTATCCTGTGCCCTGAAGCATTAGGGTAACGGATATGTGGCACCAAGCCCAGCCTGGGGTGCTCAAGATTGCTTCCATCATAAACACTGTCAACTGAGCCATCCCCTTAGAACATCTCAATACCCCTCTCCTTCATATATCCTTAGTCACCTTACTCATGTCTCAATGGTTTCCTGTCCTGACTGCCTGTTCCTTTTTGCAGATGGAATAATCATAAGATTGCCTCATGGATCATGCTGTGACCCTGCTGCAAACCTTTGAATAGCCTCCCCACGAGACAGGCTAAAGCCCGGAGCCCTTAGTATGACAGCTATGATCTGACCTTAGTATCTTGGTACAATACTCTCTCACCATTTGGCTGGCATTCAGTTTCTGGGCACTACGTAGACCTTGCAACCTAGCACAGCCTGTCTTTACCTAGAACATCTCCCTAAATGGTCTATACTTTCATCTCCTGAGACTCTTAGACACCATTCCAGGTTTAGAGTCTCCATTTTCCTTGCCTCACGGGACCCCATGAATATGTCCATTAAAGCAATGGTCCCTTTGCTGCTCTGGCCACCTTCACATCTAACTTTGGAGCAACTGCAGAACAGACTGTTGTACCTAGTTTTGTTCTTCTCCTCTTTTGATTTATATTTGTAGTAGCTGGCAAGAGCCCAGCATGTAATGGCTGCTGCTGCTACAAAATACATAATCAATACCAAATTAACTTTTCTGATTTTTTTTTTTTTTCATTCTTCCTAGGTGGCTAACAGCAAGGTGGTTGGGGAGACCTTTCACAATGTCAGAAACTGCAGCCAACTCCAGCCTCATAAAACAGGTAAAAAACATGTGGGGAATCACCAACATTTCCATGTGGCGGCTGCAGAGCCCCTGACTTCACAGTAGGTTGTGCTCTGAACGGATGGACGGCACTCAGCTGCTCCCCTATCAGGAAGTGAGCATGTGTGGACACCTTCACCACTCTGGAAACCTTGGCTAGAAATGACTGTCACTGACAATGTTCATTCCAACTTTAAAGCCTTCTTTCCTTCAAAGTGAAGATGTAGTCAGGCGTGGTGGGGCATGTCTTTAATCCCACCATTTGGGGAGGCAGAGGCAGATCTCTGAGTTCAAGGCCAGCCAGGTCTACAAAGCGAATTACAGGAGAAACCCTGTCTCAAAAAAAAAAAAAAAAAACAACCCTAACAAAACAAAAAAACAAAGAGAAAAAGTGAAGCTGTACCCCCGCCTCCAGAGATATAGGCTGTATGACAGATGCACTACCCCCCAAAACCCATAAAAAAATGGTGACTCAAAGACTGCATTTTCCACCATATGCAGAGTGTAGACTTAAATGCACACAAATGACATCAAAATAGAAGGGCTGGAGAGAGGTCAGAGGTAATGGGAAGAATGTGAACAAAGTGTATGATACACAGATGAAAAGAGCATGACAAAACCATCATCCTTGCAGTGAATCTATGCCAACAAAGGCACCCAGAAACGAAAATCTCTTTAAACACAGACTGAGAAAGGAAGCAAGTCAGACATGTTAAAACAAAGATGTCTAGCCTACTCCCATTATAACGGGCTTAGAATGAAACTTCTGGCATTAGCATTTTGTTGCCTGTCTGTGATGCTGGGGAGTGAAGCCAGGGGCTTCTGCACACTAGGCATGCGCTCCACAGCTAAGCTAGATCCCTATGCAGACACCAGCTTTCTCTTCAACATTTACTTTCACGCTTTATTTTGTCTGCAAGGGGACATGCATGTGTGGACCACAGCCTGTGTGTGAAGGACAACTTCGGGGGGTTGGCTCTCTCCTTCCAACTCTGTGGGTCCCAGAGATGAAACACAGGCCAGAGGGCCTGGCAGCAGGTACCTTTACCTGCTGAGCCACCTTGCTAGCCCCAGTTTTAACTTTTCATTAGGAAGCTAAGGCAAAATGGATCCCCCGTCACACCTCCCAACATAACACTCTCAATTCTGATCTAAACAAATCTAAACTCTACACCGAGAACTAGAAGCCATTTTACCAGTCTTTCTGAATAAAGGGGGGGGGGGGGTAAACAAAAAGCAGCGACAGTAACAGCTGCTTCACTCACTCAGATTTGCACCCCATGCCTTCCTGCCTCACCTGAAGGCCATCTATCGACACAGAATTTCTTCCTCATCTGTCTTGGATTAGACTTTGGTCTATACATTTAGAGGCCTTTGTTCCTAATTCTTGTTCTTTTCCACAGAGCATGTAAACCCCTACTTGCTAGGCCTAGAGTCTGGGTACAAAGACTGCACCGGAGATGCTATGATCACACAGGGGAACTAGACACCAATAAGTAATCGACACTTTTGAGCAGGGTGTAAGGCCCGCAGTTTGAGTCAAGTATGTATTAAAAATAAAACTAGGAAAATTTCAAGGAAGGAGAGACCCCGTTGAGGGGGTGCTGAAGAAAATGTTATGGGGGGGCAACATTTGTGTTGGACATGGACTATTCTAACGGTCACCAAAGCGGCTTTGCCCACACAGTCTCAGCATGGCAGTCTAGACAGCTTGTGAAATCTTTTCAATACTAATACTTTTGAAAACGCCTTAATTTCTGTTTCATCAAGCTGTTATTTCTTAAAATGATTAAAAGATATAAAAATAATGACGTTAACAGTAATTTCTGTAAAGTTTAGGTCTTTGCTGTTTTTCAAGTTTCCCAGGCAAGTTTCCCTGACCCAAGAGGCAGGAGACACCTCAATAAGGAGCCATTTCAAACACACAGCTAGACCAAGTGAACTTGCTTCAGATGCTCTGTCAAATCTGTATTTAAGCTTACTTGAATAAAAACGAGAGATGAGAGAAATGGTCCAACACTCAGAAGTCAACGATGAAGAAAATAATGGCAACTATGAAATGACATCCACTAACACAGACTTCCTCGAATGAACTTTTAATGAAATATGACCAATGAGCAGTACAGAGTTAAGCCTTAATATTTCTTTCCTATGAAAACCCAGATAATTATAACAGCCTATCTCAAGGAGGACAGAAGACCACAGTGAATAAGGATAATAGTAATTAACATTTGCTCCGCTCCTGCATGCTTCCTCAAAGAATGACAGAAGAGGCCCACGTCGACGACAAATTCAATCACGTTTTCCTGATCACAGCTGCAGTTGAAATGTAAGAGATAGCTGCATTTCTGCAGCATTTTAACCAACAACACTAACACTCTCAGTGTTTTCTCTTGTACCCTCTGTATCCTTGTGAGGTAGCCAGGGGAGCAAGAATTTCCTACTTTGTAGATGTGAAAACTCTACGCGAAACTCAGCACAACTGCTCTCAACTTCTGAAACCAGGGCATTTTTAAATCCTTACAGTTAGAACATATCCCAGTTCCAACACCAGAATCAGGATATGGAGCCTAAGCTTAGTAATTTTAAGCCACTCCAAAATCCAGCCAAGCTTGAGCTGCACTGGTTTAGGTGACTTATGCTCACTCAGTCTTCAGGTACAACTGTTTTCTTCCATATGTTCTTGAAGCACCAATGACAACACAATCTCCTCCAGCACTGAGCAGTTCGCCTTAATGATCTGGATAGCCACTACTGGTCTCCAGTAACAAACAGATCTGGCTATAAATGAAGGTTCTCCATTTTCTTGATGCTCATCCTAACTAGGAACATTCAAATTTTTCAGCTACAAATGGCTTGTTGTTCTGGGAATGGTGGCATATACCTCTAATCCCAGTACTGGGGATTCTGTTGCAGGCAGATCACTGTAAGTTCAAAGATAGCTCGAGATACACACTGAGAACCAGTCTTTTAAAAAACAAAAAGAAAAACAAAACAAAACACAGAAAGAAAGGCTTGGTGTTAAACAATTAGGTAATTACCAAATTCTAGGTTCAATAAGGAATGAATAACCATGTGATTTCGTTTTCCAGTCAGCACCTTCAAAAATCTGTTGCAAATGAACATTTACTGACAAGACAAAAACAGAAGTTATAAACCAAATTCATAGAAGCTTGAGGAACCGTCACAACCTAAAGATACAGCAAGTATATAAGGACTGTCAATACCTTTTAACCAGTCAGTCTTCATCCTTAACCAGGACTTTAAACAAATTTTAAATGCCACCAAATTGAGTTATACTAGACCAGAAAAACAAAACAAAACAAAACCCCCACAAAAACAAGAAAAATAAAACAATTCCTGGGCCAGCTATCTTCCCAAATATGTTTAACATATAATTCTACTTTGTACAAGTTTTCTTTTTGATACAGACTACCAAAAAGAATCTTTAACACATTTCTCTTTTCAAGCAATATAACAAATACACAATAAATACCTATGACCTTTCAGGAGGCAGCTGCAGACTGACCCAAGGCTGAAGCCTCCTGCTTCATAGCAGTACTGACAAGTTTAATTCTCAAGGACCCAAGAATCCCAGCAAGCTGCTCACTGTCCCTAATTTTATTAGATTTAGAACAAAATATACATAGAGCAATCATGTAAAAAGTACAAAGATTTTACTTGCCTTCATCAATTCTTATGTATCTGGACCATATTAATTATACTTTTATACAGAAAGATGTTTCTGTTCTAACAAAAGGAAAACAAAGGAAAAAAACCAACAACCTCAGTTCATATGTAGAATTATTAATTCCAGAGTATTAGTGAGACGGTTTATGGGTCAAAATAGGAAGTAATGTTCAATTCTTTCCAATGAAACTTTCAAATTGTTGCCAACCTGAAGTTTTCAGCATTAAGTCCCATGGGGGCAATGCCTAGGTGATTAAGAATATTCTCAACCTGGTTCAAGCTGGCACTATTTCAGATGGGTGAGTAAACATTTTGTTGACAGCCTCAATGGAGACTTTGAGGCTTCAATTGTTGTATAATGTAAACAATATGAAATCAAAAATTCTTCATAACATCTACAGTATTATAAAGTTCAGAAATAAAAGAACCGCTGACCATGTGTTCTCCCAGGGTTTATAGTATCAGAGCTCACACCAGAGCTCATACTGAGTACTGTAAGAGCAGCTGAGACTGTACTGTGTGGAGACCAGTTTTCTCAGAAGGCCAAAACTATAGCCAGATGCCAAGAGACAAACATTCCTATTACATCTGAATCAACCTTGTTGGCATATGCGTAATTATAAGTAGATCTGTTTCCCTAGTCTTTAGCCAATTAAGGAACCTTTATCATAATTCTGTTATAGCCATGGACTATAAGCCCAAAACATTATCAAATGAACCAGCACAACATGTCTCCTCTTCTTGTGTTACCCTACTGTCCCCAAATGTCACTCTAATTTTGTACCATGTAGTGATTTTTAAGAAATTGAACTAGAACAAAGCAATCCCTTTGTCCTTTTTTTTTTTTTTTACAGTTTTTACACACATTATATATACAACTTTTAAAATAGCTGCACAATTTTATTTCTCATTGCTAGAGAAGTGCAGTCCAGGCAGACCATGCTTCTCAATATATTAAAAATATTAAATAAAACCCAGCCAGTTTCATACTTTCTAAGTCAAGCTGGCTGGAAATAAAGGGACTGGAGAAAGAGCAGGCAGTTGTAAGATGGAACCCAGCCTTCTCCAAAAACACTATATAAAATCTTGTGATTCCCTCCTATAGCATCTCTACACGCTCATCTTTAAGCTGGAAGTAACACACTGCTAACGTAGAGAGACCATGGCAACATGCATATGTCAACTGCCCACTCAACCAACTGCAACCCTGAGGATTTTCTGGCCCAGTGGAAAGAGGAAACACTACGATCATATCTGCTGTAGAGTTGCTTCTCCAGTTCTCAACTTCATGTGTTTTCAGGGTGTTTCCTGGGCATGCACACATGATACTATCATTTCATGGTTCTACTTTCCACAAGTAGATTTCTTCTCCACTGTCCTTCTTCCCAGAAAGCCACTGTCATCCATCCAAAGGTTTTCCAAGATAAACCAAAGTCACTTCTGTGTTGCCATATACCGCAGAGACTGCTGGGTATAAGCAGGCCTTTGGAAGTCCTCGAAAGGCCACCCCCAGGAACTCATACCCACGCTCAAAAGCTAAAGTCTTATCCTCCATGTCCAGGATGACGCGGATCCTCTCTCCTATCTGTAAACAGACAACACAAGGTTAGCAGGGTATTCACCAAAGGCATGGCTAAAAGAAAGAGGATACAAATTAGACAGAGGAAAATTACAGCAAATGTATCTTCTAAGTTATCTCTGAAAGTGAGAAAGGGAATTTCTAGATTGGGGTAAAGAGCTTGAAGAAGGAACACATTATTCTCAACATAAATGCTGATTTTGAGTTTTTGTTTGTATTTTGAGACTGGGTTTATCTGTATAGTCTGGCTGCCCTGGAACTTAACTCTGTAGTCCAGGCTGGCCTTGAACTCAGAGATTCTCCTGCCTCTGCCTCCCAAGTGCTGGGATTAAAGGCATGAGCCTATGCCACCATGCCTGGCTTTAAAAAGGGAAAGCAGCACTGACTGTTTAAACTGCAACTCAATACATCTAGTATTTCCCCCATCTTGAATGAGTAAGACTATCATTTTTATAGTTTGCCACTATAAAGAAATGTACATGGTATGCTGAGGAATAGAGAGTAGGACTAGTCAGAGAGCTCTTCTATAGGCTGCTTGCTATCAAGCTCTGGGTTCAATCCTCAGCACCACATAAAATGGAAATGGCAGTGCATACTAGTAATCCCAGCACTTGGGAGGTAGAAGTTGGAAGACAGAACTTCAAGGTCACCATTAGCTACACAGTGCGACTAAGGCCAGCTAGGCTCATGAGCTCCTGTCTCCAAAAGGGGGGAACATTAGAAAGTCCTAAGATTTATAATTGAGATTTAATACGTCCTGCTTATGGTAACTCCTGCTGCTGTCACTAACTGCCTTCATTTATTTCCTGTCACAAATGAATGCCAACATCTGCTTTTATCCACTCTTTGCCCAATTTGACCACTAACACATCTAATCTTATTATGGTCCTCTAAATTTTGTTTACTGTGCTTACCTACCAAATACAAACAAAGCTCCTGGTCTGTCAAGCAACACTGCTTATTATCCTAGAGTCCTTTCATCAGTCTCAGAATTAGCCCTATTTTGCAGCAGACTAAACTAAGAAGACACAACTAGGGCTGGAGATATGGCTCAGTGGTTAGGAGTAATGTCCGCTCTTCCAGAGGTCCTGAGTTCAATTCCCAGCAACCACATGGTGGCTCACAACCATCTATAATAGAATCTGATGCTCTCCTCTGTAATTCGGGCATACATGCAAATCGATTGCTCATATGTATAAATAAATAAATCTTTAAAAAAAAAAAAAGACACAACTAAGGCTGAAGAGATGGCTCAGAGGTTAGGAGCACTGGTTATACTTTCAAAGGACCTAGGTTCAACTGCCAGCACCCACATGATAGCTTACAACTGTCTGTAACTCCTGTTCCAAGGGATCCAACACCCTCACACAGACAGACATGCAGGCAAAACAGCACTGTACATACAAATAAATAAGTAATTTTTTCAGAAGAAGAACACTAAAAAAGATGATGACACAACTAACCCTACTGAAATTCACAAGTCCGCTTCATCTTGGAACATGCAGCATGTGTGCTCACAGTAAAGGAACCAAAAGCAAAGTCTCACTAGTGTTGGCAGCAGTGGATAAACGTACTTGAGAGGCAGAGGCAGGTGGAGTTCAAGTTTGAGGCCAGCTTGGTCTACAGAGTGAGTTCTAACACAGTTAGGGACACACTGGCCTACACTGTCTCGAAAATTCAAAACAAACAAAACAAAAAATAAAGTGGGTGGCAGAACAACTAGACAGCATAAAAATAAGCAAAAAAAGAGGGAACATCCAAATCTGAAAACAAACCCCATCCAACTGCATGTGAGACCACAGAGATGGCATGGCATGAAAAGCATGGACTGAGAGAGCAGAAAGGCCTAGAAGACCACAGCGAAAGCTGCTCCTGCATACCACAGAGCCATGAAGTTGATAGCCTCGAGTACTAACAAGGCAACATTCACCTTTCCTAGAAAACCTGTAAGTTCCAAAAAATAAAGCAGTTTCTAGGAAAAATAAAAAATAAAAAAAGACATTCTACACCTTACACACACATCCAATTTTCAGTGAAAAAAAAAAATCACTAGGATAAAATAGGAAAAGTATGACTCTCGAAGTGGTGGGAAATCAAAAGAAACTGACTCAACCTGGACCTAGGCTTTCTAATTTGACAAAGAATCAGAGTATATACAGTTATTATATGCATATACACACACACACACACACACACACACATACACACTGGTATATTACAGGTAGTCAAAATATGTTCAAAGATTTAAATAAATAAGAAATCTCAATAGAGAAATAGACAGAAAAAGCAATCAAATAAAATCTAGATCTAAAGCCTACAATAGCCAGAACTCATTAGCCTGGTTCAACAGCAAGTTGAGATGGTGGAATAAATTGGCAGTAGCCCTGAAGCCACAGCAATAGAAATTATGCAATCAAAGGCAGAGTGCCAAGCATGGTGATGTACACCTTTAATTACAGCACTTAAGAATCAGAGGTTGGTGCGTATCTGGGAGTTTCAGGCCAGCTAAGGATACACAGTGAGACCATGTCTCAAAAACAAACAAAAAAATAAAGAGAAACAAGACTTGTAGATGAGGAATAAAAGGATCACAAAAATACTATTAAATGATCCAACAACTATAATATGTGCAAATGGACTAAACTCTCAAAAGACAGACTGTGAAATGCTGTTAAATAAGAAAGACTCAGCCACATACTATTTAAGGGTCCCATTTTAATAACAAGATAGATTTAAAAAACAAAGGGCTGGAAGAATTGTTTTGTCATAGTGTTCCATGAAAACTTGGAATAGCTACATAAGTCAGACAATACAGACTCAAACACAGGACTACTGGAAGAGTCAAGGGTCACTTATAATAATAAACAATTAGAGACTTTAGGTCAATGAAACAAAACCTGACAGACCCAAAAGAAAAACAGACAAACTAGATAAAGAGCATAGTTGGAGACTTCAAGGCTTTTCTCAGTAAAAGAACAAATACAAATCACTAGCAATTACAGATGACTTAAATTGCATTAACCGTTTTGACCTATGATTTCCAGACTATTCCATCTAAGAAAAGAATAAATGTTGTTTTTAAGCACATATGGAAACTCAAAAGAGGCCATAGGTAGAGAATAAAACTAGTGTACACACACACACACACACACACACACACACACACACACACACACGCAAGCAAGCAAGCGCACATACACATCTTGAGACAGGGTCTCTCTGTGTATAGCTCTGGCTGTTTTGGAACTTGTTCTGTAGACGAGGCTGGCTTTGAACTCTCAAAAATCTGCCTGCCTATGGGGACTAACGGTGTGCTTTACCAAGCCAGCCTGGTCTACAGAGTGAGTTCCAGGACAGCCAAAGCTATACACAGAGAAACCCTGTCTCAAAAACAAAAACAAAACAAAAAAAAAAAAAAAAACTCTGAAAACACGGTCGTCAGAATTTTCACTGTACCTAAAGTGATGAGTTCATGTTCAGTGATAAAACTGAACATTCCTTTCTGTAGGACATATACAGAATCCAAACAGACAACAAGAAAATGAGTTTATGAAAGAAAACCTTGCAGCTTTTGCACTTCAGAAAACAGATATATATTTTACCTTTTACATTGGTGTGCCACAGCTAATATTTTATTATCATTATTTTTTATGTGTATGGGTGTTTTGCCTGTGAAGGCCAGAAGAGGGCATCAGATCCTTGGGAACTGGAGTTCTAGACAGTTCGTTGTGGGCTGCTATGGGTGCTGGGAATTGAACCTGGGTCCCCTGGAAGAGCAACTAGTTATGTCTGTAACTACAATGCTAGGGGATCTGACTTCCTCTTCTGGCCTCCAGGGGCACCAGGAATGCACATGGTACACAGAAATACATGCAGACAAAACACCCACACCAATAAAATAAAATTTGAAAACATTTAAGATATGAAAAATAAAATAATATAGCAGTTTACCTGAACTTGTTTGTCTCTACAGAAAACACCAATACCTCCAAGGACTTTGAATCCACATATTATTAGTAAGAAACAGAGTGAATATGCTTGTGTATGTATATACATGCATTTGTTTTGATGAGGTGACAAGAAAAACAAAACAAAACAACCGTGGATTTCTCCTGACAGAAAAGATGACAGTCTTGAACACGAACCAGCACACTGCAGCCCCTGGGCCAAACTGGTCTTGTAGCATAAATGTAGTCTTCTGAAGTTCACCATGCCTCTTCATTCACATTATCTATAGCTGATGTGGTGCTATACTAACTTGAAAGTGTTTCTGATATACATCAACAGCAAAGCCTTAAATATGGCTTCAACAGAAAAAGCTTGGCAACCTCTGATCCAGAGCAAAGATGGATTTCTCACATATGTATTAAGAAATACTGACATACAACATTCTACCATTTATTTAAAAATTGCCAAGAAAAAGGACAAAACTCTCTCGTGGCTGTGTGAGCAGGTCATGCGATTTGAAATGGCCCAGCCTGAGGAAAGAGCACGTCTCACCTGGTATTTTGGTGCGTTGTTGCACTGTGGGAAACTGCCATTGACTTCCCCATTATGTAGCAGGTTATTGTCCACGAGATTCCAGCCCCAGCTCTGGTCGTCGCTCCCCAGCAAGGCCACATAACCTTGGCACTGCATGGGAGCCCGTTTCGTAGCAATCCCTATCACTGCCACAGTGCCCAAAGGGCCCTCCCACCATACTTCCCAGGCGTGGCGACCCTCACTGAAACCAATCTTGGTCCTTGCACCATCGGTGCTCTGAGCGATGGGGTTTCGATGTAATGTAAAGCCATTCTTCTTGATGTAGACATTCCTGGAGCAGTCATTAGTGCTGAAGGCATGTTGAAAAGCACGTACCTAAAAACACGAGAAACAGAACAAAGGAAGAATAAACTTGATTTTTCTTAAATATTAAAATGCAGCAAGCTAAATGTGGTGACTCACACCTGTAATCTCAGCCCTCTGGGATGCTGAAGCAGGATTAAAACTTCAAGGCCGGCCTGAGCTACTTAGCAAAACCCCATCTCTCTCCCTTTCCCCAAGCCAAAAACCTAAGGCTTTGTTTTTACAAACAATAAGATTATTAACTTTTAAATAAGACACTATTTCCAAATAATGACTCAAGTTTCTTTTTGGAAAACTAACATTAGATATTGTACCCTGTTAAAAATAATTCCTAGCTAGAGCTAGGCAGGTCTAACTACTCTAATGACTTGAGCCAGTTTAAGATGAACATGGAAAACAGAGAGACTCTATCCAAAGAAAGAAGGAACAATCCAAATGTCTTACTGACCAAATCCCAAACTGTAGTATAATTTCTACAAGTACACTTAAAACTTCAAAACATACACATTCACACTATTTTTTCTCTAAAGTACAAAAACATGTACAAGAAATTCCTGAAATGTTTATGCATAAGTAATGATATATGGTAATTGCTTTGAAACAGCCAGAGGCAGAGTGAGTAAACATGAAACTAGATCTGTCATGAGTCACTGGTGAAGCCTGGTAGATGGCATATGGAAATTCAGCAAACCGCTTTCTTTACTTTTACTTACACTTAAGCGATGCAGTTTCCACACTGTCAAGGCTATGATCAAAAAGAATTATAATCTAGTGTAGCACATGCTATAATCACTGCTAGGGAAGAGGCAGAAGGATCTGAAGTTCAAGGTTATCCACAGCTGCAAATCCAGTCTGAGGCCAGCCTGGGCTACACACCAGGGCTGGGATCACTGACAGAGTGCTATGCTAGCCCAGCACATGCAAGGAGGAGATGTGTGTGAATTACATCACCACTCTCACTGTTCCAAGTCATATCACCTAGACAGCACACAAATTCAACCAGAAGAAAGCCAGATGTCTGCCTACAAAAAGCCAAAATAAAAAATTACTAAATAAAAAGATGTAAAACTTGGGAGCCAGGTGTGGTACACACCCTTAATCCCAGCACTCAGGAGGCAGACTGCTCCTGAGTTTGAGGCCAGTCTGGTCTACAGAGTAAGTTATGGGGCAGACAGACAAAATCCCTGTCTCAGGAAAACGCACACACACACACAACTTTTCTGTTTCTATTCTACTTTTTAAACCTCTTCTTCAGGGCTGGAGAGATGGCTCAGCAGTTAAGAGCACTAGTTGCTCTTGCAGAAGGCCTTGGAACCAAGTGAAATTCCTACCACCCACATTGCAACTCTAGTTCCAAAGGACCTAACACCTTCTTCTGGTCCCTGGGGACACTGAATGCATGTGGTGCATGAACATACATACAGACAGAACACCCATACACATAAAGTGAAAACAAATAAGTCTGGGGGGCTGAGGTTATGGACCTAAAGGGCAATAGCTAGTTAGTGCAGGGACCCAGAAAGAGCCTTGTACCGAATCCCCAGGTCAAGAGTTAACTTTCCCAATAGCCAGCACTTTACTGTTTCATTGCTGCCCTGCACTGCACAGAGTAACCATTTTTTCAGATTATTGTTTCCATAAGAAAAATGGACAAATGAAGTAGTCCTGAAATGTTTTTCCTACCTGTTTCGTTTATATATTCTGAAGTTATGTGTTTGTGTGGCATGGTGTGTGTGTACCTGTGTGCATGCACGTGTGTGCATGAGATCAGTGCCTGTGAGATGAGGGAATCAGATTCCATGAAACCTCCGTTCAAGGCACTCATCTGCCATCTGACAGGGATGCAGCATGTGCTCTTAAGCTGAGCTATCTCTGTAGCCCTTCCATATTTAGGCACCTAAAAAAAAAATCAGTAAACAAGGGAGGAAAAATATCCAAGCAAAAGCACAGCATGAAGAGAATTAAGTCCTCATGATAATGTCAAATTAATGTTTCCTCATAACCTATTCCCCAATTCTTACAAATTTCAGTTGCTTTTTCTCTAATTTTTCCCTTTGTTACAAGTGATATTGACAATCTCTTCCTCAATTGATTCTACCACATTTATTTTTAGTGACTCCCTTTGCCCCCTAGAAGTCTACACACTCAGTCCTTAACCTTAAGTTCTTTCCAAGCTTTCTATACAGTATTTTCCCTGACTCTCAGCCAGCTAATAACTTTTGATAGTCCCACACACAGCACCACAGCAACTGCAGGTTCTGCCTCGCTCCAACATCTTCCAGAGCAGGCTGCTGGACTTCCTTTCCCGCCTGCCCTGCCTAGCTCCTAGTGCCTATCTGCTGTCCTCTTCCTATGCCCTCTACCACCATCTCTATGAACATATTCTTAGTCAGGACCACCAATTCCCACCATCCTTCTCTCCTGAATTCCCATTCAGTATTGTCTGCACCATACAACACATAACTATAAGGATCTTGTTTTCAACTATACCTCGAAGCTCGTGATCCTAGTAAAAAAGTATTTTGCAAACAAACAAACAAAAATTTTGAAACCACCAAAATCTACCGTAATCTAAAGACTCTATACTGTGGAGTCTACAGGAAATGGGAAGGAGAGAAAGCAATACCATGGCAATGAAGTGAGAAACTTAGGATGGTAACAAATAAGTTGCAGGGGCAGGAATAGGGAATTGAATCAATCAAGAGAGCCATAAAAGACTTAACAACTCCTTGTCATAAAAACATATACAGATGCTGATTAAATTATAAATTAAACTATAATTATTTCACATTTGAGACAATACTGCAATCTTCGTATTAAGAAATTACTGTCAGCCAGGCAGGGGTGGTACACACTTGTAAATCCAGCACTCTGGGTGTCAGTACAGGAGGACCTGTGTGAGTTCAAGGCCAGTCTAGTCTATAAAGGGAGTCCAGGACAACCAAGGTTACACAGAGAAACCCTGTCTTAAAAAACCAAAAGAAATCACTGTCAGTTTTGTTGTTGTTGTTGTTAGATGACAGTAGTATCATGATTATATTACCGGTCTTTGTTTTAAGAACAAATGTGGAACATTTTCAAACCCCAAAAATCTCATCTTGAGACTGCCAGTAGTAGGACCATTCCCTCCTTGACCTGGCCCTGCACACACAACCTTTTGGTCCCCACCTCTGACACCCCTGAGATGGTCCTGTAGCCTGGAGGCCAAGTTACAGGTTAAATTTTCTCTCTCCTTATAAGGCCATGTCCAGCAAGCAGCTGGAATTCCTCTTCATGCAAATAAGGCCTCCCAGCACCTTGGCCCTGGTCTTTGTTCCTGTCAATTAATGGAGCTGCTCAATGAAGCCTGCCTTCCAAGAAGTTTGTTTCTCCACGCACTCAGCAGTCACCTGAGGTCTCCATCACCCTGACTCCCTATCCCTCTTTGCAACCAGTCTGACTGCACACAATCATGCTGTTAAGGGAGGGGAAGCAGAGTGGGAATGACAAATACTGAGAAATAAAAAAAAAAAAAGGAAAAATACCAAAGTAATAAATTTTAAGGCCAAGTATGTGTTTAATTCCAACACTCAGGAGGCACTGCAAGTTGGATCTTTTGAGTTTTGAGGCCACCCTGGTTGATAAGTTCTAAGACAACCAGGCCTACACAGAGAAACAAATCCTATCTTAAAAACAAATATTCTTACATGTCTATGCATCACAGCCTTATTAGTAATAAAATGAGTTTTACTGAAAAAACAAAAAAATCAAAAAATTGAAGTCATAGTTTCTGAACAACCTAAATTTATTTATTTATTTGTTTGTTTGTTTGTTTGTTTGTTTCCAGGCAGGGTTTCTCTGTGTAGCCTTGGCTGTCTTGAACTCGCATTGTAATTGTAGACCAGGCTGGCCTCAAACTCACAGAGATCTGCCTGACTCTGTCTCCCAGAGTTCTAGGATTACAGGCATGTACCACTGCGCGCAGCCAACCTAGATTTTCTATTTCAATAGCATTATGACCTAGCTTAGGGCTTTTGAGTGCACAACTTTCCCTCAGCTCACCAGCCCACCCTCATTCTCCAGAATAACTGGCCCCCTCAACAAACTCTGTTTCTAAAAGTCAAAAAGACCCAGCTTAGGATATAACCCTGAAATTTAGATGCAAAGTATCTGGGATAAGCAATGCTCCTTGGAGAAAGGTAAAACATGAGTTATAAAAAAAGAACATTTTTGGAACTGGGGGTGTAGCTCACTGACAAGAGTGCTGAGCATGTATTAGGTCCTAGTTTGAGCTACAGCATGGAAGGAGAGACGAAAGGTAGGGAAAGGAAGGAGAACAAAATGAGCCACCTGAACACTTCCTATCCTCACCCTAGACCTTCTGTTGCCCAGGCTTCTTGGGTGTTCTATTTGACTCACCCTGTCAGCTGTCACCTATGTGGAATTGCTCTCTGTGACAGCTCTCAATCATGTCCTTCTCTCTTCTATGGGCCCTCTGCATCTCATGGCCTAGTCATTTTTAAACACAGCTTTTCTTCACTGTTCTTCTGTTTAAACTTGTATGGTTTTTCCAGTTGCAGAACAGAGCCCAACTTATACACAAAAGGCTTTCCATGATATATCTAGTTCCAGGTCACCTTTATGATCATATTTCCCTTCATTCAATCCAACTAGAAATGACTATCTTTAGCCTAGAGCTCCTCTAGTCCTTGGCGACCAGGAGCTGCCTATCTGAAATCTGCTGAATATCTCAAAAACACTATGAATTCTGCTCTCCTATAAGTGAACTTGCTGTCACTCCTCTAAACTCTAGCTCAAGTGATTCTGATATTAAGGAAGCCAAATACCTAGGAGTCATCCTTAGCTCCTCCTTCCTCATCTCTATTTCAAAATTACTGTCAAAATCTGCAAATTCTTTTTAAAAATTGTTTGATCCCGCAAATTTCAGAGAATACACAGATAACCAATATCTTAATATTCTCTGAGTGAAAAAAATCAAATTTAATTTATGATGACCTAAAATCCTAGTGCCATAGCTAAAGGCAACAGGAGGAACAGTCATCAAATTCTGTAGACTCTATTTCCTAAGTCGTCCATCTCTCTCCTCCTTCACTACCTACTTTCTAACTATTCTCCCACATCCAAAGTCCCCTTCTACCTGTTTTCCATTCTAAAGTCATTTTCCCCCCTCAGACAAGGTTTCCCTGTATCCCAGGCTGTCCTGGAACTCATTCTGTAGACCAGGCTGGGCTTGAACTCAGAGATCCACCTGCCTCTGCCTCCTGAGTGCTGGGATTAAGGCATGTACCACCACCACCACCACCAGGCCTGAGGTCAAAACTAACAAACTAATCAAATCACCAATCCCTGCCTCCATTTTTCTTGTTTACAATTAGAAATGGCTTCACTATAGTTTGTCCTCCCTCCTTTTCATCTTGCTCAAACCAGCATCACCCACGTTCTCTCAGGGCAACTACCGACATTCCTCTTGTCTCTCATACTAGCCAGAGCCCCTCCTAAGAGGCTCTTCTTGCTCCTCTTGGCCTCTTTATCCTTATCTTTCAGGTCTCACTGAACTTATGCATCATGTCTCACAAGAAAGCCTCCCTGACCTCGATACCTATTTAAATCCTCCATTACTTACACTCAGAACAGCATGCAACTCTCATTCATAACACTTACCAGATGCAGTTTTACAACTGAAATTACAGATTAATAACGATCCCTCCAGGCTGGGGCTGTAGCTAGCAGGTGTTCAATCCCTTGTTAAAAGAAAGAAAGAAAGAAACAAGACAAGCAGGCACATATGCACGCATGTGCATGCCCTCAACTACACTGTAATTCCCATGAGGCAAAGTACTGGAAGAGTTTGCATTTTTGCTGTCCTCATTTGTTCTGCTAAGTTTTTAATAAAATTTTCAAATCACCTCATCTTAAAGTTCAGCTTAGTAACATCAACCTTTTCTAATTCTCCACTCAACTCCTAAGCTTCTCCCTTCCATGAACTTCTAGTATTCCTACACTCCACTAAGGAGCAATGTGTGCCATGCCAGTTATTTCTATACATTTCCCTCAACTAGTCTAAGGACTCCTAGACTCTCTGAGTGTTCCGAAATTAACCTTCCCTATTCAAAGTAGTCACCTAAAACAACACAGGAGAAGTACAAGCCCACCTTGTAGCTGCAGTACACATAGCAGGAAGTTAAAGTATTAGAAACTTATGAACACCAAATCTTTCCAGAAAGATAAAAAGCTAGTATCAATTTAGGCTGCTTCTAAGGAGAGCTGGGTACCTGCGGGACAGCAGACAAAGGGGGACAGGTCACTTCTGCTGATGCGCTCTGCGACTCTTTTGTGTTATGTGTGTGGTGGAGAGATGTGTGTACTTACTCAGTGCCTAAGCCAGATGTGAACACTAGATGGCTTCCTACTTTGCTCACCATTGTAGTTTTTAAGACAGTCTCTCACTAACCCTGAAGCCTGCAATTTTGGCTAGTTTAGCTGGCGAATGACACCCCAAGATCTGCCTGCCTTTAGCCCCCAGAGCTGGGGTGGCAGATGCATGCCAGGCTGGCTTTTACATGGGTGCTGGGAAACTGAACTCAGGCGCTCATGCTGACCCAGCAAGCAACTTACCTACTAAATCCTTGTCCTAGCTCCTTTATTTAAACCTTGACTCACATAAATGTAACTATCACAAGTAAATTCCAAAAAGGGATTAATTTATTTTGTTTTTCGAAACAAGGTTTCACTTTGTAGTTCAAGCTAGCCTGGAACTCACAGAGCTGCCATCAAATTCATGTTGATCCTCCTGCCTCAGCCTCCCAATGCAGGGTTTATAGATGTGCACTACCATACCAGTCTCAGAAGCCTTAAACTAGGCAAAAATAACAAATCTTAAGGAAAAATTTAAATTTTCTCTTTTTGGGAAAGGGTCTTACTATGTAGCCTTGTACTTAAAAAGACCCACTGAGGGCAAATTTTAATTTTAAAGTTAAAAACTCTGAATATCAAGAAAAGTAGGACAATATTGAAGTCTTCTGCACTCTACTATTAATTACTAGACAATTAGTACCCACTGACTTCATTCTCTACACAAATACAATCCTGGCAAATGATGTTCTTTTCCTTAACAAGAAAAACAAACAGTTAAGAGTGCTCCCTGATCTTCCAGAGTACCAGAATTCAGTCCCAGTGTGTGTGGGAGAGGTCACATCTGTCTCTAACTCCAGACACTGTCTGTACACACACATACACAAAACATACACAAAACAGACATGCACACAAATACAAAAAAAATGTTTTGCCAGGAGTGGTGGCACTTTAGTCTTAGGCCTTGGAAGAAAGAGACAGGTGGGTTTCTGTTATGTTCCAGGCCAGCATGGGCTGCATAGTGAGACCCTGTCTCAGAAAAACAAACGAACAAATGTTGACATGTTCAATATTCAACATCTCTTATCACACCAAAACTCATCTTAATGTACAAAAATAAACCAGTAGCAGTAAGCCATACCATAATCCCAAGCACTCTCAAGAAACAGACAGAAAGATGGCAAGTTGGAGACTACCCTGAACCACATAGTGAGACCCAGTCTCCACAAAGATAAACATAAAATATGTCTGCATATACACATTTATAATAATACATGTCTATTAAAAGAAATAGTAAAGCCAGGAGTAGTGGCGCAGGCCTGTAGTCCCAGCACTCAGGGAGGCAGAGGTAGGCGGATCTCTGTGAGATTAAGGCCAACCTTGTCTACAAAGTCAGTCTAGGGCAGTCAAGACATCTATTTCAGATTAAAAAAAAAAAAAAATACTTAGATACTCACTAGCAACATAGCATTAAAAAGGGATGTTTATGACGTTCTTGGTCATACTTTATCATCTCTCATATATGCTTCTTGTTTTGTTTTGAGGCAGTCTCTCACTTTCTTTAGCTCTGGCTGTCCTGGAACTTGCTATGCAGACCAGGTTGGCCTTTAAGTCATAGAGATGCACCTGCCTTTGCCTCTGGAGTGCTGGGATTAAAGGTATGCATCACCACACCCGGCTTCATATATGCTCATGCTGGCTGCTATCCTGAAGAGCTACCATCCTCTAAACGAATCTTAACCCAAGGCCCCTTGTTTGTAGGGGTTGGAGAATCCTTGGTCCTGCCACGACCTGTTTCTTAGCATTTTAATTTTGTTATGAAGGCACAAAAATCTAGAACAACAAAACCACCAGCAACACAGGAATCAACATATTAGATGACAGAAAAGACATCAACTGGGTAGAACTACGAAAAAGGTATCAGTAACAGCACAAGGCAGTTTTATGAGTTAAAGGGAGCCAACGAGAGGATGTGATACTAAAGTCTCTTTCTTACAAGTTAGTTAGCAGGATGCCTAGCCTTATACTCACTTGGAAGCGTTAAAATATGGTGGCCCTGGGAGAATGTGGGCGAAAATTATGAAAATGTGCTTATTAATTAGAGCCTGGAAACGGAGAGGTGAACGCAAAGATCACAACAACTAAACCCACTTTAAAGCAACCGAAACGAACTAATGTCGTGAGTCTACTTGGAGGCCAGGAAAATATTTGATCAAGGGTACTGGTTGGTGGTCTGTCTTTAAGAGCAAAGACTGTGGAAAGTAGAACGAGTGATGAAATGAGTGATGGGAAACCACCTAATATTTTAAAAAGTGAGGCGGGTTACGAAGCAGAACTTAAAATCCAAAGAAAGGATCTCTATGGAGAGGAGTGAGCGAGGTACTGACTGGCTGCTGCCGTGAAAGGCGGGATGAGGTGGAAACACCTGACTCAAGCTTTGAAGGTAAATCCGAGAGCGGCGGGTGGCCCGGGGTTCCCTCACCTTGGCCTTGTAGCTGGGCAGGTTGCAGAGGATGTCCGTGCGCAGAGCCTCTTCTGCTAGGCTGCGGGCGCACAGGCTCCGCCACACCTCGCTGTTCTCGTCTCCGTGGAGGCAGCGGTACCAGTGCTTGCACACCAGGGCGCAGCTCCGCAGCTCGGACAGCTCAAGGTAGGAGAACACCAACTCCAGCACCCGGCTGGGCAGCCGGCCGCCGGCCCCGGAGGACCCCGAGCCCGCGCCCGCGCCGCCGCCGCTAGCGCCGCCCGAGGCTGCCCCAGCCCCCGGGCCCGGCGCAGCCATCGCCTCACCAGCCGGCCCGAGGGCCGCCGCTCCCGCCGCTTCGCCCCGTCTCGGCGCGGGAGGCCGAGCCTCGCCTAGAGCCGGGAGCAGCTCGCTCACCGCCCCTTTCAGCGCCAGCCGCCCGCGCCTCCACCGCTCCCGCCCCTGCCCGGGGGCGTCCGCCGTGCGCCCCGCCTCACTGAGGGCAGACGCGCGGGCCGCTCGGGTCCCCGCCCCTCGTGGCCGCTCAGCGCGGACGCCGGAACCACCCGCCTCGCCCGGCCTGCCCGCGACGCGCCCCGGGAGCCGCCATGCGGGTTGAGGGCAAGAAGCAAGGGCGCACGCCCAGCTCGGCCGCCGCGCCTCTCAGCCCGGAAGTGACTGCCGGCGGAGGCTCCGTGCTCCCTGAGCTTGATGGGATTGGATGCTGCGCGTGAGGTCATCACTAGGCGCCGACCAGGAACGGGAAGCGAGGTATGAGGCTGTTGCTAGTGGGTTCTGATCGCGTCTTAAGTGAATTTTTCTCTTTTTCGTCTAATGATCTTGAATCGGCTTTCCTTGGCCTCTCTTCCATTTTCATTTGCTTTCTGCTCAGTCTTCAACTTTGTTCGTGACACCTTCATAATTGCTAACCAATCCTTTAGTTGGACCCATTTTCTTTACCTTTGGGCAGTTTAGGACCTCTTGTCTTGGTCAGGTTAGATCCATTTTACTTTATTTACTTTAAGCAATTGACATAGTCTTTCCCTGGCCAGGACCAGAATTCACCAGAACATCAGAGCAACCCTCGTAAATACGCAGCCAAAAACAAGTTTACGTAATCTCAAAGTGCCATTTGAATACTAAGTGTCATAGTCTTTTTGGACAAAATGTAGTGCTCTAAGTTCCATCTCATAGCCAAAATATCAAGGAAATGTGTAATTTTAAAAAATTTGTTACTCCCAAGTGGGAGAATAAAGCGGAAGTATAAAGATTTCCTGGGAGGACAAGAAATCCAGCATTATTTAGTTATACTACATCTTCAGAATTTAAAGAGCAGTTAAGAAAAGAATAAGAGAGGGCCGAAGTGATGGCTGAGCGGTTAAGAGCACTTGCTGCACTTATAGAGGACCGAAGTTCGTTCCCAGCACCCATATGGAGGCTCAAAACTGCCTGTGACTTCGTATCAAGGAGAGCCAAACCCTCTACTGGCTTCATGCTTGTCTGAGGTGTATATACATACAAGCCATACATACGAAGTAAAATAAAAGAACTACAATATGAGCCAGGCAGTATGTGAGGTCTTTTAATATGGCTTTTATATAACTCTCAAGACAGCTCTATGAAGCAGTTATTATAATAGGGCCCACAGACTCAATAGTCAACTCCAGTGCCATGCAATCTTTATGTAGTAAGAATTCTTTCCTGAGATCCACCTATGTGTAATCCACTTCCTGTTTTTTTACTAAAAGCAAATGAGCAGCAACTACTTCCCTACTCTGGTATAATTACATGCTTATGACTTGGTAATCCCTTCCTCAGGATGTCTTTCACCAAGTTAAGTAACCCAAATTCCTGTCTGTTTTGTCAGTGCTAGTGCCACAGTCTTTTAGTTGTTTTGGTTGTTACTCAGTTTCCCCACTTGAGGACTAACTTTAGAAAATCCAGATCTATGAGGAAGTGTTGACACACATATTATAGTAATGACCATCTCTCTTCATGGTTCCTCAATGTTGAACCAAATTTTGTCTGAATGACAGTCACATTTCCTTTAAGTTTAGTAGATCTAAAAAGAAGGTAGAGAAGTATATAGAATGGTTAGATCGAAAGGCCTAGAAAAGGCACCATGGTACAAAGACTATAGTTCCGGTCGCTTGGGAGCATCAGGTGAGAGGATCACATGAACCATGAATTTGGGAACAAACCAGGGAAAACAGAGTCAGTCAGTTTCTGCTTCTCTGTATGAGGCTTGTACATATAAATAGCAGAAATTCATAAATAAAGGTGTGGCTGAAGAGAAACATTGATAGTAGAGATCATTCATTTATCAAATACTTTGTCCTTTATCTTGTCTCTCAAGACAAGTCTTTGAAGTATCTAATGAGATTCTGTTCTTGTTTTCTCTCTTTCTCCCCTCTCCCATCTTCCCTCCCTCTCATTTTTGTTTTTGTTTTTCAAGACCAGATTTCTCTGTGTAGTTCTGGCTGTCCTAGAACCTGATATGTAGAACAGGTTGGCCTTGAACTCCTAGATATCTGCCTGCCTCTGCCTCCTGAGTTCTGGAATTGAAAGACGTGTACCACCATTGCCCATCTTCATTCTTTTATCTCTTTACCCCAGTTATTCAGATGATTTTAGTGGGATATTATCAGGATAGTTTCAAAGTAGAACAAGATTACCTTTATCACTCTCTTGTTTTCTTGTTATAAGTGTTTCGCCTGCTTTTCATGAATCTCACCTTGTCCTTTCCCATGTCATTATGCATTCTGCCTACTCCTGCTACCTGTGGCATTCCACCCTTCTAAAAAAATGCTCTTAACATACCCTACTTTGCTATTATGCACTCTGTGATCTCATTAGTAATTAGAGGAAATGAATCTATTATCCAATTAAGGTAATTCATAGTAGGATATGAATAATTCCATGCTTGACCCTTTAGGCAACTACACAGGAAAAGACAAGCTTATTGGCTTGATAAATAAGTGAGAGAATATTGGCATTAACCCATTTCTACTAGGTTGTCTGGTCTAATTAGAAAATCAAGGCTTGCAAACAAAAACTCATTTCAAAATTGTTTTGACTTAGCTCAGATTTAAGTACCTTTTCCCCTTAGCCATCTTGTGGTAGCACTGTTTCATTCCACCCCCACCCCCACCCTTTTCACTTAAGGATCTCAATATGTAGCCCAGAGTGGCCCAGAACTCAAGATCTTCCTGCCTCAGCCTTCCAAGAGCTAGGACTGCAGGTATGTGCCTGTTTAACAATTTTGATAATGGAGACCAAGTAAACAAATAACTTTGAAGGCTCTAATTGGATCACTAATATTATGCATGATGACTGTTGATTGGCTACAGTAAAAAGCCTCACTGAATATTTATTTTATCTAGCCAATTTTTTAGATTTATTTATCTTACATGTATGAGTAAAAACTCATATATATATATATATATATATATATATATATATATATATATATATTCACACATGTATGCATGTGTACAGCGTGCATACCTGGTGCCTTAAGAGTTCCGAAGCACCAGATCCACTGGGACTGAAGTTATTCGTTGGTCATGAGCTGCCATGTGGGGGTGCTGGGGACTGAAGCCAGTCCCCTGCAAGAGCACCAAGTCAAGTTCTCTTAATCACTGAGCTACCTCTGTGGCCCCAAATGAGTATATACATTTTTGAGGCTTTCCTAACTTTTTTTAAACAACCCCATTAATATTTTTTTATGGGGCTGGAGAGATGTCTCAGTGGTTAAGTGCTCTTCCAAAGAACCCAGATTCAGTTTCTGACACCCACATGGCAGCTCACAACTGTCTGTAACTCCAGGATACAACAACCTCACATAAACATACATGCAAGCAAAACATCAATGTACACAAAATAAAAACAAATCTATTATTATTTTTAAGATTTTTATTATTTTTCTGACTGTGCAAGTAATCAGTAAATCTCTGTTCATTTGGTCTGCAAACTTGATTTTCTCCCTCTAGTGTGTAGAGCTATACTGTGCTTGGATCTTGTGGGATTAATGCAATAAGATTTACTACTAGAACCATTATGGAAAAAATTATCAGAACTGTATGGTGTCTATAACAGTCCTTTTAACTATAAAATCAATTCATTGCCTAACTTCTCATACTTTAGCCAAAAGTACCTTTAAAATTGAGTTAATCCCCTCAAAAACCAACAACAAACAAAGGATAAAATTAGGAAGAAAACCAGCGTGTATCTGAGTCTCCTGAGGATAGAAGTGTCCTAGTGAAGCAGAAATACTAGACCCAGTCTTACGTTTACCTAGAGTTTTGTAGATTTTTGTTTTTACATGTCTTTTGAGAGGAGAGGGCGGGGCCTAGTTGAATTTTGAAGCTGTTTCTAAGAAATGTTGCTTATTTGTCTCATAGCATCAAGTTCGTGTACAAACTCTGACAGATTCTCTCCTTCACAGAGTTTCACAGGCTATCATGGCAGTGAAGTGGACTGGTGGACATTCTACTTCTATCCTGTGCCTGAATGCAAGTAAAGATGGGCTGGTGGCTTCAGGAGCTGAGGGTGGAGATCTTGTGGCTTGGGGTGAAGATGGGTCTCCATTAGGACACATGCAGTTGGAAGGGGCTGATGATGTTACCAGCGTCTTGTTTTCCCCCTCCTGTCCCACCAAGCTCTATGCCTCCCACGGAGAAACCATCAGTGTACTAGATGTCAGGTCTCTTAAAGGGTCCCTGGACTATTTTCATGTGAATGATGAAGAAATCAATTGTCTTTCACTAAATGATACTGAAAGTCTGCTGGCTTCTGCGGATGACTCTGGGGCAATCAAAATCCTGGACCTGGAAAAGAAGAAAGTTACCAGATCCCTGAAGAGACATTCCAACATCTGTTCCTCTGTGGCTTTTCGACCTCAGAGGCCTCAGAGCCTGGTGTCATGTGGTCTGGATATGCAGGTGATGTTTCTGCAAAGAGTACTTGGGTAATTTCTGAGCAGGGTTTGCCAACAAAATCAAGTATGTATTTGGTTGGTTACCTTGGCAATTCTGGGAATTGAAGTCAGGGCCCGTATGTGCTACACATGTACTCTACCACTGAGCTATATCCTCCGCCCCTGGAATCAAATTATTGATCAGGTGTGTTCTATTCTCCACTAACATTTCTTAACCGGGTGTGAACCACTGACAGAACTGACAATATCTTATCTATTAGCTTTTTGTCTTTCTTTGTCCATAGGATTCAAATACCTGATTCTAAAAATTGCTTTAAACAAAGAAGGGATAGTTTTATGTCAACTTAGCAACAAACAAACAAACGGGAGGGGAATGCTGAATATAGAGTTGATCCATACATTTTCTAGAAACTCTTAAATGGTGTAAAAGCAGCAGAGAGTTGGAAGGTCTATTTTTACTTTGAAATTTGAAATACTTGACATACATGTCAGTGACCAGAAGCAGAATTCTGTATTCAGTGCTGGACTTTGAAAGCAACATTACAAATTAGCCCGAGTTCAGAGCACACTGTATGGAGAAAGTTAGTGGGGCCTACCATTTTGTTATCACAGGAGCAGATCATGGATTAGTAGGAGACTTTTTAGGTAGCTTGAACTTTCCAGTGGTGAGCTCACCTTCCTCCTGCAGAAGAAAAATCTCATTACCAGGATTGAGTGCTTATGATTTCCAAGTACTTTGCACATATAGTTTTCATTCTATTCATATCCTCCTAATTATTGTTCCTTTAAAAAATTATTTCACTTGGGATTGGGGATTTAGCTCAGTGGTAGAGCCCTGGGTTCGGTCCTCAGCAATGAAAAAAAAAATTATTTTACTTAATATGTATGGGTGTTTTGCCTGCACATATGTCTATGTGATATGACTGCCTGGTACCTGTGGAGGCCAGAACTGGTTGTTGGATCCCCTAGAACTACAGTTACAGGTAGTTGTAAGCTGCTATGTGGAGGTTAAGATTCATACCAGGATCCTCTGGAAGAGCAGTGTACCTAACTGCTAAGCCATCCCTCTATACCCCTATTGTTTCTTTTTAAAAGTTATTATAAATGAACCACCTCGGGGCTGGAAAGCTGGCTCAACAGCTCAGAGCACTGGCTGCTCTTTTAGGGGACCCAGGTTCAAATCCCAACACCCACATGGTAGCTCACAACTGTCTGTAACTCCAAGGTCTGACATGACACTCACACATAGACATCCATCTAGGCAAAACACCAATGCACATAAAATAAAGGTAAATATATTTTAAAAATAAATAAATGAATTCTCTGCCTCCAAACCCCATGTTTTTTCTCTATTATATGAGATATTTTAAAAAAAAATCCATGCTTGAAGCGGTGCTGCACACCTTTAATCCCAGCCCCTGGGAGGCAGAAGCAGGCAGACCTCTTGAGTTTGAGGCCAGCCAGGGCTACATAGCAAGTTCCAGGACGACAGCCAGAGCTGTGTAATAGTGAGATCCTGTCTCAACAACAACTAACAGATGACGACAACAAATCAGTATCATCCATCATGTTGGAGGGCGTGATGGTGGAACCAGTAGATGCCCTAAGTGCTGGGACACTCCCCACACAATAAGGAGCTCCCCCTGAAAAATACTTGTAATGCCTCCGTAGAATTCTATACAGAATCATTCAATACAGAATCATCATGGGTGTTATTGTCTTTCGAGACACGGTTTCTCTGTGTAACCCTGGCTGTTCTGGAACTAACTTTGTAGACCAGCTGGCCTTGAGCTCAGAGATGTTCTTGCCTCTGCCTCCAAGTACTGGGATTAAAAAAACTGATATCCATAATTTGGCATTTTGCCTCCAATTCTGTGTGAAACATTTTAGGGGCGTGCGTCTGCTAGAGAACATTTTCAAACATTCTGTGGACGGCAAGGTTAGACACTTGCTTGTTTTGATTTGCTGGTAAAATTTCACTATATTTCACTACCCATATTACCCAAATGCTATGTTTGTAGGGTTGTACAACAGTACTTATCCCCAAAAAAATGATTTTACTAAATTAAAAAAGACATGGTAATGCATGCTTATGATCCTAGAGCACTGGACAAACAGGCAAGAGGCTCACCACACAGTTCAAAGCCAGCTTAGTGAGACCTGGTTTGAAACAAACCAAGGATTTTGTTGTTGTTTTGTTCGTTTTGGGGGGACAAAGTCTCACTGTGCAGCTGACCTTGAACTCAAAGAAATCTGCCTTCCATGCCTGGTGGTGCTAGTGGCACACATTCTCCTCCAGCACTTAGGAGGAGACGCAGGAGGATCTCTGAGTTTAAGGCCAACCTGGTCTGCAAAGCAAGGTCCAGGACAGCCAGGGCTACACAAAGAAACCCTGTCTTAAAAAAAAAAAAAAAAAAAGAAAAGCAAAAGAAGACATCTGCCTCCCAAGTGCTGGGTATGTGCTGCCATGCTGCCTGGCTTTGTTTCTTTTTCTTTTTCTTTTTTTTTTTTTTAATTTGAGGAGTGGTGTTGGGGGTTGCACCCAGGGTTTTGAAGGTGGCAAATGAGTGTTTTTGCCACTAAACTATACCCCCGGCCCAACAATTGTATTTTCATGGAGTCTGCTCAATAAAAGTTTTTAGGACCTGGCTTTGTAAATTTTACCTCTGCATCTGCATTCTAGTTTTAGTCTAGTGTCAGGAACATCACCCTGGCATGTTGTAGTACCTTCTGGCCGCTTGGAATGGTACAGGGACTGCGTCATGTTTTTTTAGAAGCTCAGTAAGCACTGTAGTTAAACAGCGTGGCTAGAACACTGTGTGACTGTGTAATTTCACCTTGTTTAAAGGTGATGCTGTGGAGTCTTCAAAAAGCCCGTCCCGTCTGGATTACAAATTTACAGGAGGATGAAACCGAGGAAACGGAAGGCCCTCAGTCCCCTGGTCAGCTCCTAAACCCCGCGCTCGCCCACTCTGTCTCTGTGGCGTCGTGTGGCAATATTTTCAGCTGCGGTGCAGAGGATGGTAAGGTGCGCATCTTCAGGGTGATGGGAGTCAAATGCGAGCGAGAATTGGGATTTAAGGGCCACGCCTCGGGGGTATCCCAGGTCTGCTTTCTGCCTGAGTCCCAGCTGCTGCTTACTGGAGGGAATGATGGGAAGATAAGGTTGTGGGATGTGAGCAGTGAAGTGGAGAAGAAGCAAAAGAGTCCTGCAAAACACACCCACAGAAAGAAAGCGAAGAGAGCAGCCTGCCCCAAGCAGGGTGGGAACTCCAGTGGCTCAGCAGCAGAGGAGGAACATGCAAGGGTTTTGCCGAAGCTCGATATTGAACATGGAGAAAAAGTGAACTGGCTCTTGAGTACAAAACTGAAAGGGCACCAGAGTGTATTAGTGGCTGATCAGACGAACTGTGTGTCTGTGTATCCCTTAAATGAACTGTAGGTCCAATAAATGCACTGTAAGAACTGACATCCTTTTGGTTTTCCGTTTGTTTCCTTGCTTTCTTATTAAGACAGTCTCACACTTGTAGCCCAGGCTAGTCTGGAATTCATTACCTTGCACAGGCTGACCTCAAACTTGCGGAAATCCTCCTGTCTCAGCCTCCAACTCTGAGAGTACAAATATGAGCCACCTCTCTGCTCTGCTAACAGAAACCAATTTTATTTTTAGGTTAAGAAAAATTCTTTAAACTATATCATATGTATAATCATATCAGTTTGAACAAAAGGAAATCATTGGATAATTTTTATATGGTAAGCGACATTAGAGTCTGAGTAAAGAAATTCACCAAGTATTAACTGTTTATTGTCTACCAGCCATCCACTGTGCGATGTCTTTACTCAGTATTTCGTTTTTCCCCGTACAGAGTTTGGGCCTCGCACTGTGTTCTCGTCTAACTTTGATTTTTTATAATTTTCCACTGAAAATAAGGATTTTTGTCAGGTTTTACAATTTCATACTTAATCCATGTTCTTCTTGTTTAAAATTATGCTTACCCTGTCCCAGAAATAGAAACGTGAATGAAGGAAAGGGGTTGGGGAGAGAGAGAAGAGTCTGGAGAAAGAAAGGTAGGAGGGCAGGGCAGGGAGGGAGGGAAGAAGTTTTTGGTTTAGTTGTTTTTTTTGTGTGTGTGTGGGTGTGGGTTTTTTTGTGTTTTTTTGTGTTTTTTTTTTTTTTTTTTTTTGAGATAGGATCTCTGTGTGTGTGGTCTTGGATGTCCTGTTGCTGTGCAGAAGCTAGCCTTGAACTCACAGAGATCCTCCTGCCTCTGCTCTTCCCCACTCCTAGTGTCAGATTAAAGTGTGCTCTGCCACACCCAGCCAGAGATATTTTTTTAAGATTTATTTATTTATGTATATGAGCACTCTGTTTGCATGTATGCCTACATGACATAAGAAAACATCAGAGAGACGGGGCATCAGATCCCATTACTTGCTGGTTGTGGGCCACCATGTAGGTGCTGGGAACTGAACTCAGCACCTGTGGATGAGCAGCTTCTTAAGCACTGAGCCATCTCTCCAGACCAGAGATATTTTTCTAATGATAACTAAAATGAAGGCTATTGATGAGGATCCAGTTATTGACTGGCTGACTGATTGAGACAGGCCTAGAATTTTTTTTTTTTAACAGTCATACATTAAAAAACTCCTCTGGTTGTTTAGTAGACATAAGGCATAGGCTCCAGAATTAACCGTCACGCTACACAAGGGTAAGTAAACTCTCTGATAATCCTCAAGTCTCCACTCATCAGCAGTCACAGTAGCAATACTGACAAAACTTTTATCTCCCATGTCAAAGGGCCTTTCATTTGAAAAAAACAATTAAAAATGTGTTTTTATTTTAAGATAGCAGGTAAAATATTCGGGGCTTTAAAAATCCTAAATACAATTGAGAATGCATAAACCAAGAGATAATATGTAATTCAGCTAGAAAAAGGGTTTGTTTTTTTTGTTTTGTTTTGTTTTGTTTTGTTTTTTAATGTGTACGAGTGTTTGCCTGATGTCTGTCTGTGCACCATGTTGGCACGGTGCCTGTGGAGCCAGAGAAAGTTGATGAATCCCTTGGGATCTCCTGGGACTGGAGTTATAGATGGTTGTGAGGCACTGTGTGGGCTGGGAGTTGAACCAGGGTCTTATTGAACAGCAGCAAGTACTCTTAACTGCTGGAGCCATCTCCAGGCCTAAAAAGGATTTTGTTATTTTTATCATTCTTCTTATTATTAATGTGTAAAGCCACGGCCATCTTTTAACTTGGAATCCTCCTACCTCAGTCTTCCAAATACTAGGTTTATGGGCATGCACCCCCAGGCTCTAGACAAAAATTTGTTGTTCCTCTTTTTGACAACAGAGATTGGGTTCTATTTTTGAAACACAGTTTCATATAGTACAGGCTGGTCTTGAACTCACTATGTAAAGGATGATGCCCCTGATTTTCTTGCTTCCACTTGCTAAGTGCTGAGCTACAGGCATGGGCACATAACTAGCTCTAGAGAAAAGATTGAGCCATTTCTCTGCCTGTGATAATATCTTGTCCAATGCAAAAGAACCTGCTTTAAAGCAGCCAACTCTAGACCCACACATGATTTGGCAGGTGATTTGATTTTAGTGATACACTCTCAGCTGTCATTGCAAATTATTGTTGCTATTTAAATAGCTCTAATTTGGCTTGCATTTAATATTTAGATTTGAATCACAGTTGTTAAAGAACTATATATAAAAGACATTTTTACTCAATGTTGGGCTGGGGCATATTTAAGCAACTTTATACACAATAGAAATTAGTGATCTACCCTGAACATCTTAATACTTTTTTTCTTTTAAAAGAATGCAATTGGGCGGGTGGGGGGAGGAGAACGTAATCCTTGGGCCAGATGTAATGGTACATTCCTTTAAAAACCATGAGATGGGGGCTGGAGAGATGGCTCACAGGTTAAGAGCACTGGCTGTTCTTCTGGAGGTCCTGAGTTCAATTCCCAGCAACCACATGGTGACTCACAACCATCTATAAAGAGATCTGGTGCCCTCTTCTGGCCTGCAGGTGTATGTGCAGACAGGATACTGTATACTGTATATTTTTTAATAAATAATTAAAAAAAAAACAAAAACCATGAGACAAGTGGTTCTCTGTGAGTTCTAGGTGGCCCTGGTCTACAAAGTGAGTTCCACACTAGCTAGGGCTACATGGTGAGACCCAGTCTCAAGAGGGAAAAAAAATGCAGTCCTCAGTTCCTCAAGTTATTGCATCAAGTTACTGCTTGCCCTGCAAGCCTGACAACCTGGATCCAACCCCAGGACCCAGGTAAAGGTAGAAAAGTTCGTTTTCTGCTGGCCACCTACTGCTGGGTGTGCGGCCTACCCTCCTTAAGAGTAAGCTTCCTCCCCCCCCCCCTCCAGTGAGACTGCCTTGGAGGAAACTGTTTTCATTTGCAAGTAGGTATCAGCTGGAGGTTGCTTCTGGGTTAGGGATGGGGGCATGTGTCTACTTCTTGCTGCCCTAGGACCCCCAACTGGTTCAGGTCCATACAGACCCTGTGAATGCTGCCCCTGTCTTTGTGAGTTCATATGTGCCTTGATCTTGTTAATTCAGAGGGCTTTGTTTTCTTGGCGTCCTCCATCCTCTCTAGCTTTTTTTTTTTTTAGGTTTATTTATTATACAAGGCTCTGCCTGCGTGTACACCTGCACACCAGAAGAGGGCACCAGATCTCATTATGTATGGTTGTGAGCCACCAAGTGGTTTCTGGGAATTGAACTCAGAACCTTTAAGGAAGAACAACCTCTGAGCCATCTCCTCTCCACCCCCACCCCCAGCTCTTACACTCTTTCTACCACCTCTTCTGTGGTGAGGAGAGGGAGGTATTCCCAGAGCCCTGAGGGGAGAAATTTGATGGAGACATGCCATTTAGGGCTGAGTGTCTCAAGGTCTCTCACTCTGCCTAGTGTCTGGCTGTGAGTCTCTGAAATTGTTCCCATCTGCTCCAGAAAAGAAGCTTCTCAGATGAGGGATGAGCAAGGCACTGATTTTTGACTATAGCAGAATGTCATTCGGATCGTGTTATTTATAGAGGGACTTTCAGACCTGCCAGTGATACAAATAATGACACAGAGGCTTTTTAATATTTTAAAGCTTAGGGCTTTAGCTGGGCAGATTCCCAGCTAGCTTTCTTCCTTAATGAGACTAATCCTGGCACTACATCCTGCTGTGTGGCTAGCTCTACCCTCTGCTCCTGTTCACGTAGGTCCCTTCACTTCTGTGTTCTGCTGGTGAATCTCCCACTCTTACTTTCTTCTCCCAGAGTCCCTCTCTCCAGGAAGTGCCACACTCTACTTTCTGTCTGGACATTGGCCCTCAGCTTTATTTGTTTGTTTGTTAGAAGCAGGCCTCAAACTCACAAAGCTCCGCCTGCCTCTGCCTCCTGAGTGCTGTCCACCACCTGCCTCCTCAGCTTTTTATCGCAACCAGTAGGTTTTGAAGCGGGTATTAAACTCTAGAGGCTTCTCTACCGCAGTTAGTTTCCAAATAATCAAGACAGACTTTTTAGATTTATAAAACTTTTAAGGCACAGTAACTAGGGAGATGTCAACCTTCTATGCCATTTTGCTATTTACTAGGTATAAACCCCAAGTTCCTTTCCATGATTGTTCTGTCTGGGCTGCTTCTATTTCATTAAGCCAGCCCTCGTGGCCACGTGCTCACGGTCCATACTTCGCCATAACAACTTCCTTCTCTCCAGCTTCCTCTCCTTTTTCTCTCTCCTACCTCGTGGTCCCCATCTGACCCCAAGCCCGGGAACCTAAGCTTTGCCTGTTTCTCTTCTGCTGATCGGTTTCAAGCTTCTAGCCATTTTATTAACCAGCCAACTTTAAATTGGGGAGCAAAGTTTACCCAACATCACTCGGTATACATAAGAATGTGCTCATCTGGATAGCAACCAGATCTTGGGGGCCAGTATTTAGCATTTGAATACATAACACCAGACCAACCCCCAACACATAGGCATAGGAGGAAGGACAAATGTTTACAAAACCTAAGACCAGAGATGAGCCATAGAAAAAACAATAACAAGGTTTAGTGCTTAGCTTTCTGCCAGTATAGCAATCAACAATTGAATATAGAGACACTCCTTCACCTAATGTACCTCAACAGTTATTGATTTTTTTTTTTAAACCCTAGATCTCCTGGCTATCTAGTCTCAGGCTCTTGGCCCAAGCAGTGCAGAGCAAAGGTTCTATCTCATGGAGTGGGCTCTAAGTCAAATCAGATAACAGTTGGTCACTCCTACGAGCTTTGTACCACCATTGCCCTAGCATATCCTGTAGGCAGGACACCATTGTAGATCAAAGGGTTTGTGGCTAAGTTGGTGTTTACCTTTCGGCTTTGGTAACATGCAGAGTACCTTCCTGTACCAAAGATGCTAGCATGTTGAAGTGAAGACTCCTAGCTAGGCCCCAACTTGACTTCTGCATGCTTAATGAGTTGTGTAGGTGTTGTCTTCAATGCGGCCTTGCCATCAGTTTGTGGAAAGAAACCTACAGTTCTGGCAATAACCTGGGTTGTTTGGATGTTCCCATGGGACCACTTTGGCCAACATCTCAATTAGATGTAACCCAATCCCAGTACTGGAAGCTTCATTTGGTGACAGGAGATATCCATTTGGGGGCCCACTGTCCCCATTATTTGGCCATTTCATTTAAATCACCTTCATATATATAACATTTTAGGAAGCTTCTACCATATATAGTTTCCTACTGTAGAGTGTAGTTTCCACACTACCCCTCAAGGAGCCCTTAATTATAGCTGTCTCTCCCCAAGATCCCTCCATTGTCCCCTCTTCCCTTCCTCTATTTTATCTTCCCATTCTGGTTACCCCCAAACATGAGCTGTCATTTGTTTTGTTGATCTTAGCTGTAGCCCTCCTTTTTAAAACTCTACTTTATTTTGGGTGTTTAGGCCTCTACCTCTCTTCCACCAACTGCCAACCCTAAGTAGGAGACAGGAGAAGGTTAGTGGGGAGAAGGGCCACAGACCCCTTTACTTCTCCCTGCTGTTTAGGGTTGATTTGATCTTTGGGGGCTATACCAGTCTCTGTCAACAGCCGATGCAGCCAACAGTCTCCTCCAAGCCAATGCACCTTGAAGTGTTTCTTCACTGCCACACCATCGGTCTCTGGTCTCTTCAGACATCCTCAGAGCCCTAGACCACCCCCTCTCCGTGCCCCGCCCCACGAGGCACCAGGTAGGCCTTTACCAGCTGGCAAAAGCCACGCCTCTGCTTTAGATAACTATCAGCTGTGGACAAACTGTAGCCCAACTAAAATCCCACACTTGGGATCAAAACAAGAACATATTTACATAACAGAACTGAGTTTACAAAGATACTAAAACTTCCATCACACTTAGACATTCTGATGGGCATAAAATTAAATCTCAGAGTAATTTTGATTTGCATTTCCCTAATGACTAAGGATGTTGGACATTTTTGTTGTTTTAAAGAAAGAAAATCCCAAATGTTCAATTTTACCAATAAAGACTCAGGAGCCAGATGCTGGGGTGAAAGTCTGCTAGCTCAGAGAGGCAGAGAAAATGCCCAGCTGACCTTTTACTCAGCTGACATTTCAAAAGGAAAAAGCTCCTTCTCCTTCACATTTTAAATACCCTTCAACTCAGTGTCCCTCCTTCCTGTGTTTTCTTATGTCAACTGGTTGCATGTTCTGCCTTTTGACCCATAATTAGCTTTATTTAGCTCTTGTTTACAAAAAGCTTAATTAGGTTAAATGTGTATGCTAGGCCTGAGCCACAGCATAAGAAACAGGTTTTCCCAGCACTCAATCTCAGGGTTCACAATATGATCAAATATCCTGCAATATATCTTTAAGTGTTTCTTAGCCATTTGAATTTCCTCTTTTGAGAATTGTATGTTTAGATCTGTACCCCATTTTTTTGTTTATTTTTTATATCTAGTTTCATGATTTTTTTTTAATATATTTTAGGTATTAACCCTCTATTGGATGTGTAGTTGGCAAAAATGTTTTCCCTTTCTGTAGGCTGCTGCTCTGTGCGAATGATGGTGTCCTTCGCATTACAGAAGATTTACAGTTTCAGGAGGTCCCATTTATTAATTGTTGCTATGAGTGCCTACGCTAACAGTGTTCGGTGAAGAAAGTCTTTTCCTGTGCCAATGAGTTCAAAGGTATTCCCCACTTTCTTTTCTATCAGGTTAATGTATCTGGTTTTATAGTTTTATTTTATCATTTTTATCTTTGATTCATTTGAAATTGAGTTTTGTGCAGGGCAATAAATATGGATCTAGTTGGGTTTTTTTTTTTTTTTCTACATGCAGCCATCCAATTTGACCAGTACTGTTTGTTAAAGATACTCTCTTTTGGTTTTTCCAGTGTGTTTTTCTGGCTTCTTTATAAAAAAATCAGGTGTCCATAGATGTGTAGATTTATGTGTGGGTTTTCAGTTTGAGTCTATTGATCAACTTCAATACCATGCTATTTTTATTACTATAGCCCTGTAGTACAACCTAAAAATTAGGGATGATGATACCTCCTGCAGTTCTTGTATTCTACAGAATTGTTTTAGCTATCCTGTTATTAAAAAAAGAAAGAAAGAAAGAAAAAAGAAAAAAGGAAAAGACCTCCTCAGCTCAAGTCCCATTTGAAAAAGCCTTTCTTACTCAGCTCATGTCCCAGATGGAAAAAGTCAAAAGCCTGCTAGCTCACCCAGCAGGAGAAAACCAGAGTTGAAGAGCTAGAGAGTTCAAGCTAAAGGCCAAGTAGCAGAAGCTAACTCTTCTCCCTCTTCTCTCCACACTGTCTTAAATACTCTACAACTCTAAGTCCCTCCTACTACTTAATCCCTGTCAGCCGGTGTTTTGCTCCAGCTCTGGACCTAGGGTTAACGTTATTAAATCCTGTGTATGAAAGCTCTTGGATTAAAGGTGTGTGCTAGGGCTGAACCACACCAAACAAAAGACAGCTTTTCACAGTTCACAGTCTCAGGGATCACAGGATCATTTAAATATCCTGCAACTCTACCCTGGGTTTTTTGTGTTTCCATATGAAGCTGACAATTGTTCTTTCATGATCTGTGAAGAATTTGTTGGAATTTTGATGGGGATTGCATTGAATCTGTATATAACTTTTGTCAGGATGGCCATTTTTACTATATTAATCCTATCTACTAATCTGTTACTATCTATTAATCCTATTATGATCCATAAACATAAGAGGTCTTTTCATTTTCTGATATCTTCTTCAGTTTCTTTTTTCAATGTCTTTGAAAATGAGGACATGGCCACTCCTTGGTATGGTTGAGGTCATTGTGGATATGAGCGAGAACACAGCCAGAGGCATCTGAAAGGATCCAGGTTGAAACAGGCCAGTAGAAGGACTGGGCCCTGAGAAGAGAAAAAGGGGGAAGAATGAGAGAGGAAGAGAAGGGAAATGGTAGAGGGAGGAGGAAACACACAGGAAACAAGAAATGACATAGCCAAAATGTCTGAGTTATAGAGCAGCTGGAGCGATGGCTCACATGTAAGCACTTGTTAGCTGAGAAGAGCCGCACACATCTTTAACCCCTTCACTACGGAGGCAAAGTAGACAGATCCCTGTGAGTTCCAGGCCAGTGTGATCTACATAGATAGTTCCCAGATACCCTAGAAAGACCCTGTCTTAAAAAAATAGCACTTGTTGCTCTTCCAGAGGACCAAGATTAGAGCCCTGGCACTCACATGGGCACTTACAACTATCTGTCACTCTAGTTACCTTCTTCTGGCACAGGGTACACAGACTCAGGTACACACAGAACACTCCTACACAGCAAATACATACAAATTTTAAAATAAAAGTAGCATCCATCAAACTGTAGAGTGACATAAGTTTGTTTGTCCTTATATCAATCTTCCCCTATAAACGGAGTTGTTGTTGCATATGGTTGTTTATTGTTCTTTAATGGCATGGTTTGCTTTCAAAGGCAAATGTCATAGTGCACTCCAGGACACCTGTGTTCACACCATCGGTTCTTGAAACTGTATCTGGATGTTCAAGCTATTAAAAGCTTCATGTACTGAGTGACCTTCCAGGCAGAATTTAGATTGGATGTTCACATCGCTGCTGCCTGTTGCTGAGGGGAAAACAGCAGAGAGTCCGGGATCTCGACCTCTATAGGGTTTTTATCTCACTCTGTTTTCTTTCCCTTCATTTTCCTAAAGAAGATGAACCACGAAACCACAACCCTGATATCCTTGAAGGAAGCGATGAAAAGGTGGCTCAGGGATATAGGGAGGGAATAAGCCAGGGTCTGTTATTCTCAGAAGATGGGGAGAGAAGAATGAGGACTAGAACTAAGCAAAGAACAGCAGACATACTAATTAGAACTGTGTCCGCTAAAGTGGTTTGAGACTTGCAGATTCAAAAAAATAGGTAATAATAATGTGGGGTTTGGGATTTAGCTCAGTAGTGGAATGCCTGTGTAGTTGAAAGGCCCTGGTTTCAGTATCCCCTGCACTAGCATGTTCATGGGTGTATACACACACACAGAAAAGAGAGAGAGAGAAAATCAAGGAAAAAAAAATCTGCTTGGACCCTGGGAGGTAGGGGAAACAGCCTTACCAGGTCAGAAAAGACAATGCAGACAGTCCTGATGAGATCTGATGAGTCAGACAGAAGGGGAGGAGGTCCTCTGCTATCAGTGGAGGAGTTGAAGAGGGAGAGAGGGTGGGACTGGGAGACAAGGGAGGGAGCTACAGCTGGGATACAAAGTGAATAAATTGCAATTTAAAAATAAACAAACAAAAAAAAACAAATAAAACCAAATAATTTTTAAGGGAAAAACAGACCAAAAAAAAAAATCTTGAGATGCTATAACTCCATACAATTCATGCTAGATTTACAGAAATAAGTAAAACGTGGCTTTTTCCCTCAAGGAGCTTATAGCCAACAGAAATGGTAGAACTTTTTAAAATATAGTTTAATACATGTGACCTTATCCTGGTGATGTTCCAAAAAGACTAAAGAAGTATGAAGGAGGGATAGATTTATTTTGCCTTAAAAAATGGTTCTTCATAGAGGGATTCTGTAGCTGAATCATAGCAACAAAGTGAGTTTATGAGAAAATAAATATGGGGAGGAATTTTAAAGCGAGGAAACAACATTTTGGCCTCATATAAGATTGGGATTACATATTAGTAACCAGAATGTGTGAGAAGACTCGTCATGCTTCTTGCTGAGGAGATCTGATTTGGCCCTAAAGACAGGTTGTGTAAAAGGTACATTTTTTTTTTTTTTTGAGACAGAATTTCTCTGCATAGCCATGACTGTCCTGGACTCACTTTGTAGATCAGGCTGGCCTCAAACTCACAGAGATCCACCTGCCTCTGCCTCGCTGAGTGCTGGGATTACAGGTGTGTGCCATTGCACCTGGCTCAAAAAGTACATTTTTAATCTGAGTTAAATCATCACAAGAGTACTTTAGAGAACTGTGTGAAGGATGAATTGGAGACTAGAGCAAGGGTCCAGTTAGACTGCTGTAGTCCTAGGACCAGCTGAAAGATGATGGACTGCTGTACTCAGTATAAGGAGTAGGAGATGGGTTGAATAGTTACCAGTTAAGGGATGTGTTGAAGATTATCCTTAGACTTCTAGTTCAAATAATTGACTAAACCATGAGGCTTTTAAATGAGCTAGGGAATTGTGGTAAGAAGCATTACACACAGATTTACATGTGTTAATTTAAAAAAAGCTTAGGGTGGGCAGAAATGGCCACTGATCTCCTATGTAGAATTTACACTTTATGAAAAGTAAACTAAAACAAAAGAGGTTTGGGGTGTAGAGGCAGGTCCTTGGAGGGCAAGGATTTTCCAGAGAGGGGATTTCAGAACATGGCAGAGGACTGGACATAGTTCAGTGGTTGATCTCTTGCCTGGAAGGTATGAGGCCCTAGGTTCAATCCTCAGCACCACCATTAAAACACACACACACACACACACACACACACACACACACAC